CATGATGACCTGGTGGTCAGTGCCACAGAGGAGTTTTCCTTGCAAGAGTTTATGTTCTTGCTCCTAAACATTGTGTTCCAGATGTTCAGTGTATCTGTACTTGTGTGTTTATGTTTATATGTGAGTTGTGTGCTTTACAGCTCTTTCATTGTGAAAACATATACTTATTTTTTTCATATTTTTATTGTATATTTCTCTTTCTTAACTTCTGCAGTACTTTCCCTTACTATGTTAACTGTTATGCACTAAAACACCAAAACAAATTCCTTACATGTGAAAACCTTCTGGGTGATAATCATGATTCTGATAATTGATCTTTCGCTAAGCCCCGCTCTTTTGTGATGGTCTGATAAAATGTCAGAGTAAGCATGGAGCCTACACTGTAACTAACTGCACTCCCTGAAGAAATATTATCATATTTTTTGGAAAAATGAAATAGTCATTCCAGAGACAAGCAAACAGAGGGGTATACAATATGTGTTTGAAGGATATATCCAGGATGTTAGACTCACTCAGCAACAAAATCAGGTTAAAAAGATGAAGATAGTCAGAAGCTAAAGCCTAAGTATAAGCTACTATTGACAGTATAAAAGTTAACCACCACATCACTGGTGATCACAGTAGAAAACAATGAATATAAAGGGAAACTTTGCAAACATTGAACCAGCTGTGAGGCATTGCAGTGTGTGCAGATGAACAGTGTTTGGCTTTCCCCTGTGCTCGCTGTCAGCATCCGAACCTCAGCTGCCGGACAGGCAGGGATCTCCGGGGGAAGTCAAACAGGGTCTGCCTTTTTCAAGCAAAAGCAGCATGTGTATACATTCAGTAGGCTATATCTTAAGTAGCTAGCTAGCTAACCCTACACTTTTCAGGGTTTGATTTTGGTTTTGGAACAGGGAAGAAACGTGTATCTTTTTCCAACCTCTCCAGGTAACGAGTACCATTAATACACGAGGTGGCCTAGGCACAACATTTAGCTTCAAATCCACAAAACCAGCCTGAAAATGAAGGAGATCTGAAACCATTGCATTAGAGTCAGTGGAGCACAGCGGTGTTGGTGTTGGACCCCGGTCTGAGTTGGCCCGATGTTACATTATGATTGGCCAGTCTGCGTCCAGAGGGCGGGACTTACCAAAGGGTCAATTGTTGAAAGAATTTTCTTTAGGTTTCATCAGTTTTACTGTTTGACAAATATATGGAAACCTCTTAATCTCGTTTTGTTATTGAGACAGTGAGGAAGATAGGTGAAGCTGCCAGGTCAGAGATGATTGAGCTCCTCTGTGAGGCTGACCCCTTTCTCTGTGAACATCTTGGGTTGATCTAAGGAAGAAACTGATCGTCCTATAAATGCCACAAATGATAGCATTTATTAGCAAATTTTAAAAGGTTTCAAAATTTAGATGTAAATATTGTTCTTTTTTTGTCATGGTCATTTTTTTGTCCTAAAAATGTGAAAGTTTTTATCAAAACTTTGCAGTATTTCTGAAGCATTAAATCAATAGTTTTTTTTGTCCTGTTCAAATCCATCAACTCTAAAAGTTTTCAAATGTTGAATTTAATGTATTCCTTTTTAAAACTTCTGAATCTTTTTAAAACACCTTTGCCAAAATGAGTGTCTGTTGCACTTTTTATGAAATTTGTCCTGCCTATTGCTGACACTTTGTGCTGATTTTTAGAACTTCTGATAGTATTTCATTTTACCTTTTTGTATTTTTATACCATTGTATAGCCTGTATCCCAAACAAGTAATAGCTGTCATTAAGTTGTTAGCTAACATGGATCTAAATAAACCACATAAAGTAAAGGGGACTGTAGGTAAATTTTTCAAGTAGCCTGTACTTTTACTGGCAATACTGTCAGTATCACTCTGACTGGCAGACGTGAAACAATGCTTTTCAGCTTAGTATTCAGATAATCTTCAAAGGCACTTAATTTCCCGCCAGGGGATCAATCAATTCTTATTTTATTGTAACGTGAAGGATCTTCTACATGTGTATCCTAAAATAACGTCTTTTAATTGATGTTATCCTTCATCAGCCAGCAGGGGGAGGCATTTGCTTAATGATGTTAAGTTATTGGTTGAGGTCAAGTCCAGTCTGACACATGATGTGGGGCTGCTGTAACAATGGTTCCTGACCTTTTCTGTTATAGACCCTTTGTCCCCTAATTAAATTGAGTAAACTGAGGACCCCTGACTAAGTGACACATTATATGAAAAAAAAACAAAAAAAGAACAGAACAACACAACATAAACTGTACATTTAACCTAAATAGTAAATGGAAAAACTGCAAGAAATTTGTGTTTAAAGAGTGATTTAGATTCATTTTAAGCAGATAATTTCCATCAGAGATGAGTTTTCTTGATATAACCTTTGTAAATGGTTCCCTGTCTGTATTCTCCCTCTCTCCGTGATGCTTCATTGTTGTATATTAGCCTTTTGATTGTTTTAACTTCATACTTTTCTAATGTAGAACGAGGCTGTTTAGCAGAGAGTGAAGGCTCTGTGAGTGTAGCTTGTGGTTTTTTTGTTTGTAATACCAATATTATTACCAATATTATTTTTAATATGATATGAAAAATCCATATTGTGATACTCATAATATTTAGACTTGTTGACATATTGACATCACATTCTTACACACAGCAACAACAAGTATGGCTTAAAGCGAAATGATTACTGACTCTGCGGTGGTTCCAAAAAGAGGAGCAGCTTCAGTAGTGTGGAATAAACTACAGTGTCCTGAATGTTTTATGAACAGCCCTGGACTTCTCAGACTATTTCAGCGACTTACCGCTCAGAGGGAACTCATTCAGCGGCTCCTCTGGCAGCAGCACAGTGTCTCTCCCTCTCCTCTCTCACCGAGCACACACAGGATCGGTGTCATCAAGTGATTTTGTCACAAACCTTATGTAAACCTATGTGACACTTGTGGCTAGCCAAAAAAACTACATATATGTGAATGTGCGATAGTTATGGTAGCATAGCCTGTCACAGGTTACAGCATGATGATTAGAGGTGAAATAGCATAAAGGTCCAGGTGGAAAAAAAACACGGTTATTTAGGATTTTGCTAAAAGTGAAGGAAATCACCTGTTGACTTATATAAATAGATCCCAGGGTACACATTTTTTAATTTGGGAACTATTTACATGTGTAATTTGTGGATTTTTTTTTTTTTTTTTTTTTTTTTTTTGTGGAACTATTAATATTGTATACAGAATCTGAATCTCACTCTGAGTTACTGTTGTTTACAGACTTAAGAAATGAGAGATCATTGTTGTTTAGTTGTTACTGAATATTTGAAGGCAAACTGTAAAATTGTATCACTTATTTTGTTACAATTCTGTGTTCTTGAATTATTTACTAATTTGTTGTATCGTCAAGAATATTGTTATTGTAAAAATACCCTGAAATATCATTATAATATTTTAGGGCCATATCACCCACCCCTAAGCTAAACTCAAATAACAATTAAATTGTTAAATTATTAAATTCTTTCACAGAAGAACACAGATGTGTGTAGAGCATGCCACGTTTTAGTTCATTGAAGATGTTGTATCACCACTTGTATATTGCTGTGTAATTAACGTTACATGTTTTTAATAAAAATGCTTTATTTAGTCATATTAAAGGCTGAGATGTTAATGTTGGTATTACATAAGAATTTACATTTATGACTTCAAGTCTAATACTTGTAAAATAAGACAATTTAAGACTCTTAAAATGACTTTGTAATGGTACTGTAAACATTATCTAATTGGTGAGTTATCATGGGATGCGCGGGAGGTATCATGGATTTATTAACTAATAGTTGTGCATTAAAGTCACAAACTATTAGGTGCAGCCCACTGCTGCCTAACAAATATATATTTTGAATTGGAGCCAGGCTAATGGTCTGTCTCAGCTAACGGTTACCTTATATTAGGCTAATGTTAGCTTTTAGAAAATGTTAAGTTAGCCACCTAATCTAAACAGGTGGGTTTTGAGCAAAGATTTGAAGGACTTTAAGTCTGTACAGTTACGGATGTGTTGGGGAAGAGAGTTCCAGAGGCGGGGTGCCACAGTGGAGAAGGCTTTGTCCCCCAAGGTTTTGTGCTTGTTCCTGTGTGGTGGAGAGAGGATATTCTCAACGAATCCATACAACTTTATTTCAGTATTATTTTTTTATAGTATTGAACCTGAAAGTCCCAAATGTTTGGCACTTTTTTGCCTAAAAAATCACTTCAAAGATTGGCAGATTAATTATTATCATTGTCTTAAACCTGCAGGCATCAAGTGTTTTGCATTTTTCCTTTAAAATTAACAGATTATTTAAAAATTTGCAGACAATTTTTTTAAAATTAATAATTAAACAAATGATCAGTGCTACTTTTATTATTTAATTCTATTTTATTTCATTTCATTAGTTTTGTTTAATTTTATTGAACATGGACGCATCGACTGTCGACTGTGTGATTAATTAACTAATCAAGGTAGTTTTTTTTATGTCAATATTTTTATTTAATTCTATTGAACCTGTCAGCATACAGGTTCAATAGAAATTGAACCTGTTAATTTTTGCTTCAAAATTGATAGATTTTTTTTTAAATAAATTGCAGAATAGTTTTTTGTTTATCAACTATGTGATTAACAAATCAACGCAGCTCTTCAATACATATTTTACTTTTTAGTTCCTAAATCCACGTTAGAAAATACATCCACTTCCTGTTTTCTCCAGATAACTTCCTGTTTACCTCGTGCTAACTCCCGCTAGCTTGTCTCCGATGGAGTGATCGGTCCCAGCTCAGCATCCAGCCTTCACACCGGACGGTGAGCCGCTGAGTAAAGGGGCAGAGCCGCCGTCTCTCTGGTACAATTTTCAGCTTTTCTACTTAGTTGACAGTGTCTCAGGTTGAAGAGTGGCTCAGTGGGGACATTTGGAACTCTCGGCCTGGACAACATTAACTACACCTATAACAAGTGGATTTAGCCTTTGGGGAGCACAGAGGAGGTTTGGAGGATGAACCCCCAGTGTGCCCGCTGTGGGAAGATCGTCTACCCGACGGAGAAAGTCAGCTGCCTGGATAAGGTGAGCACTTTGGAGACAAAATAGAAAACATCCAGCATCACATAGATGTATTTATTCTCCACATATAAAGCCTTTAAACTGGCACTTATCGGCGTCTGAACTGGATGGATCACAGGGCGTCAAGTTATATTTTTTGTCAATCGCACAACATTCAGCATACAGAGAAGTAAGTAGTTGTTGGACATGTGTCAGGCTCCCTCCAATGCTCATTCAATGTATAAAAAGAAAATCATGCAAGTAAAAAAAAATCAAAAGAGAATTTAAGACATAAAATAGTACGGAATTTAAAATATAAGGAAAACAATATAACATTGTCAAAATATAAAATGAAATAATATGTATTTGTGCTAGGCAGTAATTACAGAATGAGTGAACTGAATGTACACAAGAATGTGGATCTGTGGAGTTGTGAGAGATGTAGGTATGGGTGTAGTGCAAGGAAAACCCTCCAGTCAAACCCTCATTCCCATTAAACACATAAAGCAAGTATCATTGATTATCAAAATCTACTTTCACTAACTTTCAGGTAATGAGTAGTCATTCAGACAAAATCTATAATCATGATTAATTTAGTATTAACTCCAAAAAAGTAATATTTGGGGAGTTTATGGTTGATTTAGCAGGATTTATATATATTATCTCTTTAGTTTAGTTCATAAAATATTGATTTAATATACATTTACAAGCCTAATTAAGGCCTACATTGCCTGAATACACATTTATTTTGATGACCTTATCACATTTCAACATTCATATAGCTTTTGGGACTTAGACTTTAAACCTCTGTGGTAAGTTGCATGTTGTATTATTGGCACTGTAAATATACCATAAATCTGTTTTTATGTAGGGCTATCACAGCAGGTAGAAATTCCTAAGTGAAACCGTCACAGTGCCATCATTAAAGATACAGAAATATTGTGGGAAATTAATTATTTAAACACCACTGAAATAGCACACATCGTCATAATCATTATATGATGTGATAAATAAGGGATATAAAATGAATATTTTAGGATTGTCTGGCTAAACCCCCCTCTTTTTAAGCCATTATTCAAAAGTAAGTGTTGATTTTTGTGTCTGCATGGTAACACCTCTGCAATAGTCTGTTGCATAATGGTGATAAATTATTAATTTATCTTCAGCGGTCTCATGCATTCACTGTCTGTTCTATGAGGCATCAGATGACACAACAGCATGTAGGCACTGCACATGATATTAGCTCCCACCTTTCATAATGAAAGATTTCACAGAGCTGTAGCAAATACTGTTTGTTGAATGTGAAGACAAAATATCATCATTCAATGTCTCTAGACCAATAAAGACTAAAGTTATGTTCTGTCCCATCTTGTGAAAGTTGACATGAGTTGTTTGAAGAGAGAATAAGGGAATAAAAGAGCTCAAACAGTGTGAGAGGCAGTGATTTAGAGAGGAGGAGGCTGGCAAAGAAACAATGAAGTATACGGAGAAAGTGAGAAGGAGTGTGAGGGTGAGAGAAAGAGAACTTCAGAATTCCCTGCTGTCCCTCCAAAAAGCCCATTTAATCAGGCCTTTTGCAAGACTAGGTGTCACTTCTTTTTCATTTTAGCCAAAGACATAAAAAACACATTTCAAGTGAGAATAAAAGCTATAAGTTTAACTTCTCCAGGTTTTAGCATGGCCATTATTCCCAATGCAAATCCTGCAGGATCTGCTGTTAAAATGAGACCTTGTGTGTGTCAGTTACAAGCACAGTATGCTGAACATGATTTGTAGGTAAGGACAAAAATTGCAAACACACTGGTACGGTACTTAACTTCAGTTTTTTTTTTACCAGCACTAGATTTTTTAGGGCAGATACCCAGCCAAGTCTCCAGAAAAAAATGTTGGCATTGTGCATTTCTGCAAATCATGGATACGTTACATTTGCACATTTCCTACAATATCAATGTTTCCAATGTGACATAGTGTGTGAGCTGACTTTGTCATTAGGAAGTAGAGGGGAAGATGGATGGCACTGAACCTATGCCAGGGGAGATGCCTGCCAAGCTGCAGACCACTGTTTAAGACCAACATACAACAAACTGGTTGTTTTTAAGAGAGTCATTGCTGTGTTTACAGCAGCTTGGTTTTGTAGCGACTTGTCTGTGTGTGTTCATCAGCCTTTTAGGTTTCAAATGCGGGTGATTTGTAGCAACCGGTTGGTGTATTTCCATCTGCTTTTTAGGCTCCAAATGTTGGTGTTCTATAGCTACCTATCAGTGTGTTTCCAGCGTCTTTTTTAGGCTCCAGATGTGGGTGTTCTGTAGCAACTTGTCTGTGTGTTTCCATTTGCTTTTTAGGTTCCAAACAGGTGTTTTGTAGAACCCCCTCTGTATGTTTCCAGTGTCTTTTTTAGGCTTTAAATGTGGGTGTTTTGTAGCAACTCTTTGGTGTGTTTCCAGTGGCTTTTAAGGCTCCAAATCTGTGTTTTGTAGCAACCCATTTGTGTGTTTCCAGCGTATTTTTTAGGCTCCAAATGTGGGTGTTCTGTAGCAACCTGTCTGTGTGTTTCCATTTGCTTTTGAGGCTCCAAACAGGTGTTTTGTAGGGAACCACCTGTGTGTTTCCATCTGCTTTTTAGGTTCTGAACGTGGGTGTTTTGTAGCAACCCCTCTGTGTGTTTCCAGCTGGTTTTAGGCTCCAAATGTGTCTGTTTTGTGGCAGCCCATTGGTGTATTTCAATCAACTTTTTAGGCTCCAAATGTGGGTGTTTTGTCACGACCTGTCTGTGTGTTTCAAGCAGTATATAGGCTCCAAACATGTTTTTTTGTAGCAGCTCACTGGTATATTTCCATTGATTTTTAGGCTCTAAACGTGGGTGTTTTGTAGTGACCTATCTGTGTGTTTCAAGTGGCTTTTTAGACCCCAAACATGGGTGTTTTTTTTTGCAGCCCATCAGTGTAATTTCATTCATTTTTTAGGCTCCAAATATGTATGTTTTGTAGCTGTCTGTCTGTGTTTTTCCAGCGGCTTTTATGGCTCCAAACTTTGGTGTTTTGTAGTGACCTGTCAGTGTGTTGAATTGGCTTTTAAGGCTCCAAACATGGGTGTTTTGTAGCAAGCTGTCAGTGTTTTTCCTGTGGCTTTTTAGGCTCCAAATATGGCTTGAATACTTTTTTTTTCAGAGACTTTTGCACAAGAGTTTTCCTGTAGGGATTCTGCCACCAAAATTGATATTTTAAGCCAAAACATGATCTTTTCCTTACCATATCCAAGTTTTTTTTCTGCTGAAACATAACTCTACTTTAATCACAGCCTTGTTAAAGCATAACGTTTGTTTGATAATGTGCAAATGTAAGGTATCTGTGGTTTGCAGAAACATACAATGCCAATATTTTTCTGGCGATTAGGTTGCAATACCAGTATTGATATTTCTAATGTTAAAAAAGTAAGATAACAATATATGGCTCATTCCTGTTATGCAGCCACATTTGAAACTCATAGCTTTTAAAAAGAAAATATGTGTTTTTCATGTTTTTTGCATTATTTAAGAATAGTGGCACATGTTAGGATGTCAGGAAAACATGGCCAATTTCAGGCATTCTAATAATAATCCCTATGGGTGGACTGGATTATATTGGTCTACAGACCTCACAGGGTGAAAAAAAATTGAGCAAAGTTAGCCTTAGCTCTGTGAATAATCCTCCTGCACATAAACAAAACTTTATGTTCCTCTTTAAGCTTGATCACCTGTTTTCACTTTTTTTTTGATTGGACCAACTTTCATCATTATTTAGCTGAACAGAGTGGAACTTTTAGAGTGTGACAAACAGATTAACATCATGAAAAAAAACTAGAAGTACTGCCACGCGGCCGCTCCCCAGTCGAGTTGCAGTTTCAGTTTCAGTTTACATCCATGTCTGTGAAAACATGGATGCTTCACACACATCTTCCCCCAGCAGCACAGACGATCTATACAATCAACACAGCTTTCAGGTGGACATTAGAGTCACCAATTCAGTATCTCGCCAAATGTCTCCCTGTCTGTTCGTGAGATTTGACTTTGACTAATAGCCAGAAAAGTGTTTTATGTAGAACATTTTGATGTCACAGTGAAGCTGACCTTTGACCTTTTGGATATAAAATGTCATCACTTCATCATTTTATCCTATTAGATATTTGTGTGAAGTTTTGTCATAATTTGAGCAAGAATTCTTGAGTTATGGCACTGACCTTGACCTTTGACCTTCGACCACCAAATTCTAACCAATTTATTCTTCAGTCCAAGTGAATGTTTGTGCTAAATATGAAGAAATTTCCTTAAAGCTTTCTTGAGATATTGCCTTCACAAGAATGAAATAGATGCAAGGGCACACTGACCTTGACCTTTGATCACTAAAAAAACTAATCAGTTAATCACTGAGTTCAAGGAGACGTTTGTGCCAAATTTGAAGAACTTACTTCCAGATGTTGGTGAGATATCATGTTTACAGGAATGGGACAAACTGACGAACAGACAGAGGGACAACCCAAAAACATAATGCCTCCAGCTATCACTGGTGCGGAGGTTTAAAAAGACATGAGTGAAACTTGAGGGAAACATGGTTGTCCTATACTTCACACTTTTTATTCCCTCCAAAAAAAAAAGGGTAATTTCCTATAAATGGTCTCAATTGAATTGTTAATGGACTACAAACTAACAGGATGGAAAATGACTTCAGGGACACAGTAAATGATGACAATAAAAGAAAATATATAATATAAATTGCATATATAACCCTAACCCTAATCTTACAGAAATAATTAGAGAAAGTTCAACATGACCTAGAAAATAATTGAAGAATATCAATAGTTCTTGTCCAAGTAGAACACTTTCTGGGGACATGGTTGAGCACATACCAAAAGAAAGTTTCAGTAAAGTTAAAAAAAAGGTGTTTTTAATATGTATTATTCTGTGTTAAATATTGATACATTTTAAAGAACATATAAGGAGGTAAATGTTGATGCATAACAGGAATGACTCATATGACGTCATGGATCCTTTTGTGTAACAAACAAAACCTGTGCTTATGAAAGACTTATGTAAAAATACTGAGTGCATTGCTTTGCATCTTATATTGAGCTGAAAGAAACTTTCTCTCTTTCTCAAGCCCACTGTTTTTGTAATGTAATGTAATGTGATACACGAAACACTGTTGTATTTATCTCTAAAAAAGACATTGAATGTACAATTTATAATCGCAAATGAAACTTCTCAGTTACATAATGGTGACACTTTCTAAAATGGCCCATGTATTATTGGCTGACATGTATGCAGTTACAAATATGTATATTTAAGTAAAACCTTCACTAAGATGTAGTAAAAAGTCCCTCCCGATACAACTTATCATCGCTCTCTATGGATTTCTATTTAGATACAGCATGCTCTTTCACTGAAATTAAAGCACAGGATTAATATAGAAGGCATATGACCATATTAACAACTCAAACACTTAATTTAGCGCTGATTTACTGGAAGGATTTGAATAATCCTAATGCAAGACAGATGGAGGGCGATATGAACTGGACATTGAACGAACAAATGTTTGGCAGTGAACTGACTTACTTCAGTTTTTTGCTCTGCGGTCTGTCACATTTTCATCCAGTCTCCTACTGTATTTATATTTAGTTCATGAAAGATTTCCGCTCACTTCCCTCTAAACACTCACTGTCAAACATGTTGTTTGATTGACAGGCCGTGTGTGAGAAGTGCAGTGCAGAAACAGCACTGAACAGCAGAGGCGTACACAAAACATGAAGTAGAGCTTTTATAGTTTTTTCTTGACCTTTGAAACAACGGTTTGACAAAAAAAAAATCCCTTGTTGTTTCAGAAGCTTTCAGCTGCATCACAGAAAAAGTTGTTCAGTTGTCATGGAGATGATTAAGTTGTTATTATGTGACCTAAGACTGGTCCTAGAAGGAGTCGAAGCATCCCAGTGGGGCTCCCTTACACCAGAACACCTACACACGGAGTCAGCCCTGACAGGAAGCCACACAACACCTTAGAGGGATAGTTCAGATCTTTTGAAGTGGGGTTGTATGAGGTGCAGTCAGTGTATTACCTTCAGTAAATGGTTGGCACGCCTCCAGTTAGGAAAAGCAAGCAGGAGCACTACCACGGAAGCTGCTGTGGACGAGCCGAGCAGCAAAACTTATTTTGGCCACCTAAACAAATAATACCAGTTTAATTGTACACTATATTAAGATTTTCAGTTTTACCTTACCATGGTGTCAGAAAGTAACAAAACTATCAGCTCTGTGAGGTAAAATTACTGTTTTTATCAAAGGAGTCTGGTGGCTTTGAAGAGGTATAACGGCTTCAATTCCCACTAGGAAAGCTCTGTCTGGCAGAACAGCAATGCTGGGCTCACACTGGACGTGGAGATACCCTGATTTGTCAGTGTCACATTAAAAGTCACCTGGCCATTTACACCAGGTGATACGTGTGTGTGTGTGTGTGTGTGTGTGTGTGTACTCGTTTCTCTTGCTCTCTTTGTTTAGACACATCTGACAAATATGTGGAAGCATGGGATGCATAATTAATCATTTATAAGAATCAGATCATTTTTTATCACATCCCACATATCCTTTATATTGTTCAAAATAGATTATCAGTGTGTTTTCTTGCCAGATTTGCTTGTGGCTCACAGAAAATATACACCGGATGCTGAAACTATCACTATCACAAGCTCAGTGCTGTGCTGCATCCAGCGTGAACAGCCTAGTTGGTAAACATGGACGCCGAAAGGTATTGGCCAGCGGTCCAAGGATAGCGAAGGCATAACCCGCCGTACTCTCCCCTTAATTTGCTTGAACTCGCTGCCTTTGTTGGTTGGATTGGTTAGGTTCAGGCAAGATGAGTGGGATTGGTTAGGGTCAGGGCTCAGCCTCTGTGGTGATACCCTGGCCTGCTTCTCCTAACTGGGAGTGTGCCAACTGACATCTACTGTAGGTAACACGCTAAGTATGGGGAAGTACTAGGGGTGTAAATCATCATGATATTATACCCATTCTTTGGACAACAATATGATATTTGCCAATATCACAGAGTCTGCCACAATACGATTTTGATTCAATTCAATTCAGAGCTTGGGATCGATATGAGACGATATTATATTGATGATGATATTGATTACATTTAACACAATCTATTACAGACAAAACAGCCACCACTTTTTTTTTTTTTTGGCTTTTGGCCAAAAAAAAAAGATAAAATACATACAGCCTTTTAAACCCAAACCATAAAGGCAAACTTCTCCCAACAGCCATCAAACAATGTTCCTGGTTCAAATCCAGGGATGGGGAGTTTGAACCCAGGGTGGGGGAGCCCGTCTGTGCAGAGTTTGCATGTTCTTCCCGTGTCAGCGTGGGTTTTCTCCATCTACTCTGGCTAACGCCAGGGCCACACCGGACGTGGAAGCGCTGCGAATAGCCTCGAAGCGAAGCCAGTTTCCTTTCGGCACCCATGTTAACCGATTGTGTCATCCACACCGGCCGCGCCGTGCAGCTCCGCAACTGGTGCTGCAGCGATCGTTTCGGCGTCTGGTCTGTTTTCTGCGCGAGCCACGAGCGAATGTGTCAAGCCGGGCAGGAAGTCAAACAAAGGAACAACAGCATCCTGTCAATTTTCAGAATAAAACAAATTTCAAAATAAAACACACCGTTTGACAAATGCAATGTATATGTGTGTGTGTGTGTGTGTGTGTGTGTGTGTGTGTGTGTGTTTATATACATATTAGTCAGTGGTATCTAAACAGAGCACGAGAGAGATGAACACACACACACACACACACACACACTCACTCACACACACTAACACACACACACACACACACACACACACACACACACAGAGAGAGAGAGAGAGAGAGAGAGAGAGTGTGGGCCGGCTATAGGGGCTGGGGGTTGGGGCACACACAGGCAAACAGAGAGAGATACCCATGATGGAAAAACAGCCCCAAATGTGATGCAGACAACAGCTGGGAGCAGAAGCGCTTGTCGACCGGCGTGGAGAAATGCGCGTCTGATGTGAACAGGCTCACGCTCCCGTGTCAGCTGCGAGAGGATCCAGCAGCCCCACGACCCCTAACAGGATAAGCGGTTATGAAAAATGAATGAATGAATGAATTAATCATTTAACAACAGTTTAAAATTTAGCTTTTTATTAACTATTATGGCTCATTGTCTGTCTCTTGGCCGCTCACCATTATCTGCCTGATGCTGTTTGATTGTGACACAGAATTTCAAAATCAAGGTACATCCTAAAGATGATGACATGGATCAGTGTTTTTACTTTGCATCCATGACATTGGATAGTTGATTATTAAAATGATAATATCGATCAAGATTGTTGAGCCCCTAATAACTACCTCATTCAACCCCTACTTTAGAAGATTGACACTATCCATGTGACATGTGACATGTGACAGGTAGTGTGGGGAAAACTACATCAGTGAAATGATTAGAACAAAGCAGTCAGTGGAGAGCTGAAAACAAGATCACAGACTGTTACATCTGTGGACAGAGATGGATTGTGTCCGTACACAACCTTTTGTTATTACATGGCCAAAATTTCATACTTAGGTCATGTCCTAAAAATTAAACTATCTCCATGGCAACTGCGCAAAATCCATCCGCTAAGGATAGCCACAAGATATGGTTGAAAAGCTTTTAAAAACACCAAATGAGTGGACCTTGAGATGAGATTTTGTGTAAGAAAGGCACTCTTGCGCTTCAGCCAAAAATAAAACTGGATCGGTGCTCACAGCACAGTACAAAATAGTAATTTCGACACTACTGCATCTTCTTCAGAGTCAAACTCTGAAGAAGACGCAGTAGCGTCGAAACGTCAGTCTGTTTGCATCTTATCAAAAGCTCTGCAGTTTTATAGAGTGCTCCAGCCTCCTTTCATTTGGGTTCAGTCATTTTTTGAAGTGGCCCACTTGATGTATTGTCTACCATGAGATTTTGTCTGTCAAAAGTCTGAAACATGAGAGCGAGTCTCAGGCCTAAACTCACTTGACAAATCCAATATTAATGTGTGACTGTGTGTGTTTGTGTGTTTTCTCCAGAACTGGCATAAAGGATGTTTCCACTGCGAGGTTTGCAAGATGACCCTGAACATGAAGAACTACAAAGGTTACGACAAGAAACCCTACTGCAATGCGTGAGTCTTCTCTCTCTCTCTCTCTCTCTTTATATATATATATATGCATACATATATATATGTATACACACACATATATATACAGTATATATGTACACAGTGTAAATAGCATCACATAGCCACAAATTGTTAGCACATATACTGTATGAAAGACTCATTATAACCACTATAATGTACAATTAGCTCACTGTTCTCTGATGCTGTCTATACTGAATTTTAATTAAAGTGTTATCATTTCATATTTATGAGCTTACTCATCCTTTGGCTGCACTGTGTTATTTTCTGCATCTGTGCCTGGCTGCAGGCTGTTCATATCTGCGTGGTGACCCTTTAAGGTTTTTATAGCAGCCATGGTTATGGTCAGTGGTTGTCTTCGGTGGTTTTGGTTGCGAGCCCAGCCCTGCTTTACCCTCCCTGCTGCTGGTTCTGTTTACAGCCCTGAATCTGTGCGTTTCTCCACACTGCTAACATGCTCTGCTTGTTATTATCTGTACGCCACGATGCACTACACCGCCATTTATTGCCTGACCTTCATAGACACCAGCAAGATTAGAAACCTCAATGGAGGCAAAACTTGGATCTGTGTTTGATGGATGTTGGTAGTAAATTATAGCTTGTGCTGAAAACTTTGTGCTAGTATCTTCACAGAAGGGGGAGGCTGTGGCTTTGACCTTTGACCTTGTCACTTTTGGTTGCTTGTAATGTTGATGATTTGGGAGTCGACGCTCTATAACTCTCCACAACATACACGTGTGTTTAAAGATATGATATGTAACTTTTTCACATTAAAATGTCTACAAATGACTGGACCAATGATATATATTTAGTTGAGTTGTGTACTTACATTATCCCGAATGTTTCCAACAGCATTCAAACTCACAAAAATCTCTAATTTTAATCAAGGACATGGTCCATGTGATTTGATCACCATCGAGTGTGAGTGGAGTCATATGGGAGGAGACCCCTGCAGATAATTTGGCTCCTGATGAAAACCTCCTGAATGTCTGGATCTTAAGTTATTTAAAAAAAAAAACCAAAAAACAAAAACAAAGGTGAGCACACATTAGCAGGAGCTCAGCTAGCAGCCTCTGCGTAACGAGCCAAGCAGAGTTGGAGAAACACTATTTTTTAACATTTCTCTTGTTTTGATTGCAGCTGCAAAAAAATATATTTTGTAAGTTTAATGCAGCAGAAATTTAGAAAGAAAATAAATATTTGAGGGTAATTGAATTGTTCATTTGTTATTTCTTGTAGTTGTGTCACACAGAAAGATCTTTCAAATCACAACCAGAAAACAAAAACACACTTTGTCTACATCACCCTCCTGTCACACACACCAGCACTGTCTTATATGCAGGTACAAACACTCAGAACAGTGGACTTAATTGCAGAGGGTTTAAAGCAACCTTTGACCCTGTGAGGTTCAAAAGGCGTTTCCTCTTGGCTGGTGAACACACCGTCTTTGTTTCCTCTCTCACCCCCATGTAAACAAACACCACTTAAATCCTGAACGGGCCACTCTGAGTGGTGACCGCTGCAGCTGGCAGCATTTTCACTGAAAAGTTCTCTTCTGTGGCAAAACATGCATGTTGGAATTCACACTCATGACAGCCCAGGAAATGTTTCAGAACTCTGTGACCTCAAAATGAATTCATTATGAATTCAGTTGCAAACTTGAAAAAGTTTATTTGCTGATATTTTTTGTGGCAAGTTGAATCTGTTTTATGAGTCACAAATTGATAATCTGCATTTGACAAATCCAGAATCTTTTAGGCTTAAATGTTTATATTCAAGAGGCTGCAAGAGGACAGCAGTTGAAGACCTTGTATTTAAGGGACAAAATTGTTTTATTCATAATTCTTTCTCACTATTAAAACAGCCCAACTCATAGGGCCGTCCTGAGTATTGCGTTTTGGGCATTGAAGCTTCAATGAAAAATATCCACCACTGCCTGCGATTAAAAAAACGTCAATTTTCAGTCGATGCACCTAAACTAACATGACATTTAGCCACTTAGTATGCAGGTTGCACTAACATTAGCCATAATAGTTAGGAAAAAAACTTGCCAAGCTTGTTGTACAGTTGTGGTATGCAGGTTTTGACTTATTGAGATTGTCTTTGCAACATCTTGCTTCCTGTAAACCGGTCAACACTTTATTTATCCTCAGCCTTGTGGCTCTCCACTGGGACACTGTTCTCTGTCAGTATGCCCCTTTCCCAGGATTCTTTTGTGCTCGCGGTGCTGTCATCCTTGAGCTGAGTTGTTTTGGGACGTAGTCCCAGTCTCCCAGTTTTGTTTGTTGCTATCGAGGACGCCATTCCACGATTCCACGTTTTTTTAAACCAAAAAATGCTTGCTGGGACACAAGCTCAGACCAGCCACTGCCATCTTTCCAAAATCTAGAGGCAGTGTTCATTGTCTGTTCTGAGGCAGTGTTTGGTTTGTCCATTCTGGGCAACTGTAAAAACATGGCGGTGCAAAATGGAGATCTTCGTAGATGAGGACTCACTCATATAACTCATATAACCCATATAGTTGGCACATTCTAAGGGGACAAGAACACAACGATTCTTATTTTCAGGTGATTATACACTAAAGAAAAAACATTATTATGTTCCATCTCTGCCAATATATCGCCCTACAGCCTAAATGAATTGGGCTCTGATAACTAGTGATAGGCTTTTGTCATTTAATGTGTCATTTTATGGAGTAAATAAAAAAGAGTGATTAATTATAGAAAATTCACAGAATAATTCAAGAGAATATAGTTGTTTCCCCATCAAGTTCTAAAAAGAAAGAAAGAACAGGATTCCAACAAATGTATTTTATTGGGAAAATAGTAAAAAACAACAAAGTGCAAAGAGAAGAATACTGTTTTTGTTTCCTCAATTGTTACATGAACAACCTGTCAGTTTTCTGAATCACTGTAGTTAGTTCTTCACTGTTCACTGCTGCCTGCAAGCTCTTATCTACTCTCTCTGTCTGTATGTAAAGTTAGTATGACAAGTTTGTTTACGGTGCAGAAAACAGCTGCAGACTTCCTGCAGGGATTTCTTTACTCACCAGTTAGAGTTTTGCTTTTGTACTTCAGTGTTACACGTAGTGTTCAGTGTACAGTAATTAAAGAGAGTCTGTGCACAGCTCCAGCTCCCTCTGACGCTCATTGTTTTTAGAATGAGATAACTGGTGTGTGTTGTGAAAAAGCCCGGCAGCTTTGTTTTTCTTGGCCATTTGTGTCAAGTGTCTGATCTGTGTCCATTGTTGAGCTGCGGCTGCGGACAACGCTGTGAGGGAAACAATAACATCTGAACGGACGGCCTCAGTTCGGCCAATTTGCTTTCTGTTCATTTCATCTGTAGCTGCTTCAGTGGGTTCCTGAGGTTCTTGGATTGTAAAACATCAGACTGGATCTACACAATTAGTAGAATCTGCACTTCATGGTCTTACTGTAGTTGCTGCTGTTATTTTAAATGGGCGTAAACAGAGTACAGGGTGAATTTTTACCTTAGGATTCCGTTTTTCTTCCAGTCCAGGCACTTAACACAGAGAAATATGCATCTTAGCCTGGTGGATCAGTGGCAAGATTCCTGTTTTGGGTCCAGTTTCTTCACTACAAAAAGTAATTATAATATTGCTGTGTTTTTCATTGCATTAACTTCTGACGTTAAGCCAGGAGTTACAGTCTTTTTAAGGAGGGTGGAGTCCTATCCCTCAAGCCCCAGACACAGCAAACTGACATCAAAGAACAAGTGGCGATGAAAGCCGACTGTAGCCTCACGTTGCCTGTGTCTCAGCCAAAATGTTGCACTTGAACACACTGCAAAGACTACAGCCAACAGCCAACTTGCACGTACATTCTGCACCTGTGTGAGAGGAAATAACTCCAAACCAGCAGGCAGTGGTGGTCTGTATATGTCATTCAAAAAGAAAAACCAGAAGACTGGAGGGACAGACTCCAGATGCTAGTTAGCCAGTTAGCACATTAAATACACAACCAGATGTTGAAAGAACAAAGCATTATTACCATGTGCTAGTGAACAGTAACACAAATGATTACGAACCGTTAATGCTTAAGAGCTCAATGGCCGAAAAAAAAAAAATCTTACCTCACAGAACAAGTTTTTATGATCTCATGCCCTCTTGACTTAAGTTGTTTGTTTGCTGTCCTCATTTCTGCTTTTTTTCTCATGCTGAGCTGAACTGCCACTCAGAGGGATTTGACTCACCGACGGGCTCTGTCTGCTTCAATGCCGATTCAACTTGCTGAATCAGCTGGCAAAAAAGCAGACAAGGGCCAACTAGTGCCAGCAGTGCAGGACATACTGACGGTAGACCATCAACTTGGTGTGCCAAGGCCTTTAATAGGACTTTTCCATTTGCACATTTGGCCACACTGACTTTCACTATGCTGCGACGATTTGTGCTTTCTTTGTCAGTTTAAACATGCCAGATCATTTGACCATCTTTGGAGTCGGGCCAAAAGCGCTCCTGACTGCCTCTATGGGTAACGGTGATGTTACCGACAACAGCCAACCCCTGACGTTTCTCCCCTTGAAAAAAAACTTGTGAGACTCAACTCACCTCTGTCTGTGCAGGAGACGCTTTTGAAAGTCTTTGTGTGTTCAGCTCTCAGTACTTTTGTAGTTTCTAACTAAATCTGTCTTGTTGGAGTTTAATTTCTCTCAGCATTCCTGTTTTTACTTTAGATATGTGCTTTAATATACTGTTTAATTTTGCTTCCAGCTGTATGAGAGACATGTTAAGTTACTGCTGATAAAAACAAATAAAAAAATTTGCTCGGGTTCGGCCCACTTAACATGCTGCTGTGTTGTGCTATGGCCTATTCAAGTGCTCAATTTTGTTGTTTACTTGACAACGCTTGAGCACAACAGAGGCTCCGCTCCATTGAGTGTGTGTACAGTGTTGCTGTGTGTGCGGCATTTTTGACTGCGCATAACAGCAGCCTTTTGATGGTCATTTACACACTGTCGATAACAAT